CGGAGCTGCCGGGCCGCCGGGTACCGCCGGGTCTCCATGGCGACTGGACGCGGTCGGATGCTGCAGCCGCGCTGGCTGGGCCTCCTGGCGCTGCGCGGGCCCATCCCAAGTGGCAGTGAGGCCTGGGTCGGCGCAGGGGCAGCCCCCGGGTGCCCCTGGGCCTCCGGGTTTAGGTGAGGGCCGGGGCTCCCGGGTGGGTCGCCCCTCCCGCCGCCTCCTCGCCGCCCCTTTGGGAGTAGCTTTAGTTTTCGTTGGTTCTGCTCTGGCCCCGGACTAGGTTGTGTTTGCTTCTTCCTGAAGCGCGGGAAAGGTCGGACGCGTGTCAGTAGAATATCCCTCCATTGTGGGTACACTGGTATCCCAAGTATTGACACACTCTCAAGGAGATAACCTTTTGGCACTCCATCCATAAATTGGTCCGGTGGGAAGACAGATGCTGTCCATCAGCCCGCCTGTGTGGGCCAAGGCGTTCTGCTTGGATCCTTTGTGTTCTTGTTCTAGAATTAGGAAGAACCTTTTGTCTTTTTTTTTTTAAACTTAGATCTACCCATTAAAATACCTTAACTCTCCTCCCTCCCTCCCCCCCTCCCCCCAAAGTAAGACAAGCCTGCCCCTTAAGTGGAGGTCCTGGCATGCTGCCATGGGGCCTGTCTTCCCCACCAATACTTTCTACAAAACCTGTGACCAAGGCCAAGTTGCTTTCTAAACAGTCACACTTAGGTGCTCAACCCAGTGCTTTGCTATCTCCCTAAGCACCTGCAGAATGAGAACATCCTGGCCTAGAGGCGCCTGTCTTTTCCATTTCTCATGACTGTGGGCGTCTTAAGGGTGATCCTCTCTTATTGCACCAGCAGTTTACCAGTGGAAAGATAATCCTAAGAATTTGTATTCTTTTTTTTTTTTTTTGGTCCGGTCGTGGGGCCTGAACTCTGGGCCTGGGCGCTGTCCCTCAGCTCTTCAGCTCAAGGCTAGCGCTCTACCACTTGAGCCACAGCTCCACTTCCGGTTTTTTCTTTTTTGCTTATGTGGTGCTGAGGAATCGAACCCAGGGCCTCAGGCATGCAAGGCAAGCGCTCTACCACTGAGCCACCTTCCCAGCCCAGAATTTGTATTCTTAAAGATTCTTTTTGCTTTTAACGTTTTTTGATCAGTAGATGCAAAAAGTCGTGAGTAGTTTGCTTTATTAAATGCATCTTTGTGTATGCACAAAATAGGATATAAAGTATTACTTTACCAACCTAAGTCCCTCTGTTTCCAATCTCTAGGATGGTGTCCTCCTATGTCTCCATTACTCTTTACCACAGTTTCAGAAGCCCAGTCCTATTCTTAGTGCCAGTATAATAGTTCTTGGCTATATAATATTGAATAAACCACAAAGCTTGTGACAAATAAAATGGCATCAGTGCTTTCAAAAATCCTATTATGTAGGGGCTGGGAAGGTGGCTCAGTGGTAGAGTGCTTGCCTCGCATGCATGAGGCCCTGAGTTCAATTCCTCAGCACCACATAAGCAGAAAAAGCTGGAAGTGGCTCTGTGGCTGAAATAGTAGAGAGCTAGCCTTGAGTTGAAAAGCTCAGGGACAGGGCCAAGGCCCAGAGTTCAGGCCCTACAACCAACAACAACAACAACAAAAATCCTATTATGTAGAAGAGGAAGATTTGAGTTTGCCCCTGCTACTCGTGTTAATATAGTGCCCTGATAGGGGAAACCAAATGATTTTAATATGTTGAGTCCTTATGTCTATAAATTGTGTGAACTTCCTGGTGGAATTATTAAGTCCTCCCTGTCATTATATCACTAGACATAATGTCATTAGACATGATGAGCCTGCATTTCATCTTGTGAGGTGTGCATGTAAAGGTTCTTCCTGGTATAGCAAAGGCAGTTTCTAAGTAAGTGGTTATTTTTAACATCTCATTATGAAAACATAGGTTACTAAGATATCAGTGATCCTCTTTTTAATTTTTTTGTTCCAGTCCTAAGGCTTGAACTCAGGACCTGGGTGCTATCTCTTGAGCTCTTTGTTGCTCAAGGCTAGCCCTCTACCACTTGAACCACAGCTTTGCTTCTATCAGTTATCCTTTATAACACAAAATATGTGAATGAACATCACAAACTCAGAGCAGAATGAATATCATGTTGGGTTACTTTATATCATCTAATTGATTTAATAGGTACTAAGAGGCATACAAGTAAGATTTTTAAAAATATTGAATGTGTTCAAAGCTATCAGGTGGTATACAAGAATTTAAAATACTCAAACTCTTCAAAACTCTCGAAGGTAAAAATCTTTTAAGTTGAAAAGTGTTTTCAAGCCGGGTGCCAGTAGCTCACACATGTAATCCTAGCTCTCAGGAAGCTGAGATTTGAGGATCATGGTTCATAGCCAGCCTGGGCAGGAAAGTCTGTGAGACTCTTACTTCCAGTGAACTACCAGAAAACTGGAAGTGGTACTGTGGCTCTAGTGGTAGAGTACTGGCCTTGAGCTGAAGAGCTCAGGGGTAGCACCTAGGCCCAGAGTTCAAGCTCCATGACTGACCAAAAAAAAAAAAAGTTTCCGAACATTTTCAAATTTAGACAAATTTGCATAAGGAAGGCATGCAGTTTATTCATTTGTTAGTTATATAGCCCATTACAATGTGAAATTAGTTTTAGGGAAAAATGGACTTGTATTTTCAGTAGTGCCAAAAATCAAATTGATATGACATAAATGTAATATGTTTACAGAGAGCTCTGTCAGGCACGTGCAGCCTCTGCCCAGCTTGGTACTGTAAGTTTCCTTCCCTTACCCTCCCACCCCTGTCCTTGAGCTTTCTTGCCCCAGGCTAGCTCTCTGCCACTTGAGCTACAGCTCCACTTCTGGGCTTTTTTTTGGGGGGGGCAGTTAATTGGTGGAAAGAGTCATGGATTTTCCTGCCTGGTCTGGCTCTGAACTGTGATCCTTAGGTCTCCCAGCCTCCTGAGTAGCTAGGTGAGAGTCACCTGTGCTGGCCAGAGTTTCTGGAACGTTCTAGTTGAGCCTTGGTCTTCTAAACTGAAATGAGGGCTTATAGAAGTTGTTTCAAGCGTAGCAAGGCAAAACAGCGTAAAGCAGGCGCTCACACTTCCGGTCAAGGAAAGGAAGAGGCAGTGCGTGTTGAGGGCTTACTACCCTGCAAGCGGGACAGTCCACCATTAAAGGGGGCACGGGGGTTTTATTGGTCGGTGAGGCGCCTGCCCTTCCCGCGGCGATCGCCAGGGGCGGGCCTCCCCTTTCCTCCTCCCCGCCGGCCTCCCCGCGGGCCTCTCCGCCGGCCTGGGCCTCTCTTCCGGCCGGCCGGGGGGGGGGGTCTCCCCGGGCACCGCTCGCTCCACTGCTCGGCTCCGGGAGCCCAGTTCCTCTCCTGGGGTCTCTCCTCTTCTTCGTTGCTCCGCCCCGGAACTCCCGCCCCTCCACATCCGGCGTCCGCCCTCCGCCTCGAACGCCCGCCCCGCCAGCCGGCGGGCAGGGGTGAAGCGTGGCGGCGATGTCAGCCTGGGGCCGGAGCTCCCGGGCTGGTGCTGGTGGCACAGGGTATGCGGTTCGCACGTGTTTGTCCAGTTGAACCGGACCAGTGTCGTGGAAGAACTGTCTGCATTTGCTGCTGGGTTAGGGAAGAGCCTTTGCGTTTAGAAATAATCAGGACCAAACAGGCCTTCCTTGGGACTCATTTAAAACCGTATTTGGAATCTAGCTCCCTCGCATTCGTAGCTACCTGGAGTCTGACATTGGGAGGTCTGTGGTTTGAACCCGGTCTGGGTGAAAGAGTGTGGAAGACCCATTCTCAACTGAGAGAGAGGCGTGGTGGCTGCATCTGTTATCCCAGCTACCACCACAGGAAGCCTCGAACTTGTGGATTGCAGTCCACACGCTGCCTGGTCAGGAGCAAGAGCTTCTTTAAAAAATAACCAGGTGGAAAAGGGCTGGAGGTGTACAGTGGAAAGAAGCCTTTCTGCGTCTGCTTAGAAGCACATGGGAATGCTGAACATGGCACAGAGGCTGCTGGATGCTTTGGGTGTTCACAGCAGATGTATCTCATGGTATCATCTTGGCTGTAGGCTTCCAGCTATTTACTCAGCTGCTTAATAGCTGAAGCTCGGGGTGAGGGACCTTCTCAATTGTGCTTCCAATAGCAGTGGATGCTTGGAGTTGAGGATCATCTTCTGTTAGATAAGTTTGGTGGATTTCATAGTTCAGCTTCCAGAGGGCTAATCAGCTTCCCTTTGAAGTTCTTGGGACACCTTTTTGCTCCTAGTAGTTCAGATATTTCTGGGGAGTCAGCTTAGTACAAAAAACTCTTGGTGAGCAAACTACATATTCAAAACAATGGTGTTGGTGGGTGGAGCCCATTGGGAAATGTATACTTTAGATTTTAGTTACTTCTTAAATAGCATGTTGAGTGGGAGATGATCAATTACTAATAAGTGTTTTTGTAAATTCTTCAAGAAGCAACTTCCAGACTTCTTGGAGAAGTAGCATACTGATTGCTGCCTGGAAATGGATATGGCCTAGAATAGGGGGCTTTGGGCTGTCACTCTGTGTTTCAGATATCTTTCAAACCGCTAGTGAACATCACTGGTTTTAGAGACTGATCTTCAGAAGAATTTAGGGACTCTTGAAAAGAACTGAAAAATTTTACATATTTCATAAAATCTAAAAGGCCATTAATTTTAAGATATACTATTTTGTGCATTACTGAAACTAAAAAGATGGCCAATTAAAATATATTTCATTCACTGCGCAATGTTAAGGTGTGAGAAATCTTGTGGATACTGGGCTCTTTGTACTGTGGTGGTATAGAATATCATCTACATGCTAAGCAACAATTATACTGGTCAGCCAATGCATTATAAAATCCTTCTTTTCGTTTCCTTTAAGTACATTCTGTAGCACCTCTTTGACATGTTGACTGCTTATGAGAGCAAATATTAAATCAATCGGAGTAAATTCAGGCTTTAAGTATATTTACTCAATGACACACATGTTTCATAGCCTCTTTCTTTGTTTTTCCTCCCATCTTTTCCCTCTTTCCCTCTCTTATCCCTTGCTTTTGTCTCAGAAATGAAGTTTTAGCGAGTAAGCTTTGGCATTTATGATCTTTCAAGTAATTTTGTAGAGGGAAACAGATAATTCATTTGGAAATTACATTTGGATTTTCCCACTTTTTCTTTCAGAATGGGGCCAGGTATCAGATTTGCAGCAAACTGTACTACTGTGAGACAAAATGCCAGATGTGGCCAGCACTATGAGAAATCCTCCTGTAATTATTTTGTGTCCCTGGATGGGTAAGTAACAGAAGTAGTTCCCCACATTTTTTGGGTAGGGAGAATTTCTAGGCATGGTGCTTTTGGAGAAAGTTGTAGTACAGTATATATCAAGTTGCTATTTTGAGCTTTCTAAGAATAGTGTTGTGTAGGAAGAATGTACAACGTGAAGAGTTTGATGAATCATGAGCTTGTCATCATTATCCTTATTAAATGAAATTTTTGAAGCTAAACTTCTAAAAGTGACAAGTAAATTGAATTTTCCTTTTATTAAAATGTTCTTTAAATTACTCAATTTTCAATTTATAAACACCCTCAAAGCAGCAGAAAGATCAGAGTGTACTTTCCTAAACGTGTGAGAGCACTCTGAATTTCATAGCTTTCAGTAGTTTGGGATTATTTTGCCATTTTATGATTCTATACTGTGATCCTCTACATGAAGATCCAAAGAATCATTTTTTAAAAAAAGCTTTTAAAGATGAATGCTAATAGAAAATGCATACAAAAAGTACCTCTAGAATTGATGTCTGTAGCAAGTAATGGTATGTGTGTAACAGTGGCTTAAGCCTATAATCCTAGCTACTCAAGAAGGCTGAGATCTGGGAATCAAAGTTTGGAGCCAGCTGGGCAGGCAGATCCAAGAGCTCTTATCTCCAAATAACCAGCAAAGAGCTGGAAGTAGAGGCATGACTCAAGTGATAAGAGCACCAGCTATGAGTGAAAATGCTGAGCAAGAGTGAGAGGCCCTGGGTTCAAATCCCAGATTTGTACTGGGTATAACATTATGGAATACCATCTCTATGTAAGCATTGTCTTAAGCCCTGAAAACCTATTTTTTTTGTCAGTTGTGAGGCTTGAACTCTGGGCCTGGGTACTGTCCCTGAGCTCTTCAGCTCAAGGAGAGTGCTCTACCACTTGAGCCACATCCCCACTTCTGGTTTTCTGGTGATTAATTGGAGATAAGAGTCTCATGGACTTTCCTGCCCAGGCTGGCTTTGAACCTTGATCCTCAGATCTCAGCCTCCTGAGTAGTTAGGATTACAGGTATGAGCCATAGGCACCTGGTAAAACCTAGTATTTTTATGGAGATATTTTAATTTTATTGTAAATGTATTGTACAGTTACATAAATAAGGCAATGAGTACATGTTTTGTTGAACATTGTTACCCCCTCTTGTTTTGCTCCCATTTTCCCTTACCCCCCAATTTCTCCTCCACAGAGGATATTTATATATTGGAGATACTTTATACTGGAGGAAACAAGGCTTGTATAGCTTACATGTTACAAATATAATTTGCCTGCTTTGAAGAAGTTTTGGGCATTTAATATTTTATCATAACTATCTCAACTGACCATGACTATATTTTTAGATACACATTTTAATATACATACTTCACTGTATACATTATGTCCATTTCCTTTTACAAAGGAAAGCCAAAAAATATATTTAAGGACACTAGTTAAAGCTTAAACTCTTTACATTTGGAATAGAATACAGCTATCAGACAGGAGAAATAAACTACTTATGTAATTGGTTACTCTCTCCATTAATTTATAGTGACCTATAAATTAATGGAAATTAATGGAGAGAGTAACCAATTAAGTATTAGGTGCTGTGTTTGGTTCTAGAAGACAAATAGTGAGCCCTTACATGCATTCTCATGAAGCTGATGAGTTGGTTGGGAGACAAACTAAAAAAATGCTGACTGAGATAGGAAGGAGTTGGGGTCTCAGGCAGAAAAGAGTCATAATGATGCCAAAGGAGGATGCCAAGTGACACTGGGCATCAGTTTCATTTTTGATGTCTCTGATAGGAGCTAGTTGTGGCTGAATGTCTTGGAGAGAAAGAGAGAGGCAAGCAAAGGTGGACCAGTGGTAAGCTCAATGCCAGGGCATTGAGAAGCAACTAGAGAACCCGGGAAGACCCAAGAGTTCTAGAATTCTAGGACAGGGGGTGTTGTGTGAACAAAAGAGATTGCTGCAAAAATGGAAATGGTTGGTTACCTGTTGTCAAGAGAAGATGAGAGAGCAGAGGTTACACGGAAGCTTTAGTTAGCCTTAACGAACTGTTTCCAGCCAGCAGAAGGAAAGAGGTTGGACACTTAGATGTTACATGCAAGTATAAAAAGTAAGTAAGTAGGAGTATGGATTTGGAGGTAGTAAGTATAGACAAAGGTATTGGCTTTTTTTTTTATTTTGCAGGTGGGGAAGGCTGGTACCTGGGCTTGAATTTAAGGCCTCCTCACATTTCTTACTCAGCTTTTTCTGAGCATTCTTGCTCATGACTGACCTATCACTTGGGACATGCTTCTAGCTTATTTTTGTGCTGGTTACTTAGAGGTAGAGTTGTATAGACTTTTCTTCTGAGGGTGGCTTCAAATTGCTTTGAATCTTGATCCTCAGTGTCTCAGTGTCCTAAGTAGTTAGTATTACCTGACAAGATTTTGTTTTCTTTTGTTCTTTCTGGGCAGCTCTGCATCAGGAGGGTGGCTGGAAGTGAGGAGATGCAAGGAATAGTACAGTGGTAGGCTGAGATTTTGGGGAGTATTTCTGAGTGAAGAGAATGATACAGAATAGAGGCAGGAATGAAATGTTATAGACCTTAAGAACATGGTTTGATAGGTGAAGTGAGTATTCTCCCTAGGAATTGGTGGGTGGTTGGGAGTATGGATACAAGAGTATTGGAGTAGATCCAAATATGGAATAGGAGCAAGGACATAATTATATTTGGATCCCCATAGTACTAGAAATAAATATGTCAAATGAGTTCAAACTTTATTAGGGAAGCCTGTTGTAATAAAGCAGTTTCTTGTTCCCACTGTTAGAACTTCTTTGTTCTACCTTTCACCATCCTTTTCCCCTTTCTTTTTCCATCATTCCTTACCTTACCCCAATAACTGAACCTGTGAATGTCACATAATGAGACTTCAACAGAAAGTAACCCAATATAAGTATGAACATTGACCTAGCTTGGAGGGAACTATATAGACAATAATTACAAATGCTTTAATCTTAGCCATTTTAACTATGAAGTAGAGGTTTTCTTCTTGTGCTAGAAAAATATAGGAAGGAGACTCCCTTTTATGATATTAGTATGGCAGATGGGAAGGTCAAAACCTGTCTAATGCCTGATTTCAATGGAGTTTTACTCATTATATAATTATTATAGCTATTGTATATCTTTCTGAAATGTTATCTTTAAGTACGACTCTAATTTTTGTTGAATTATAATGATTAGAAAAACAATTAACACAAGATATAAAAATATATTTAGAGGTCATACAAACATTATTTCTTGTAGTTTTGCTGCCTCTAGAATTAAAAATCCTTTCTTATTGAATACGTCTAACTTATTGCCTGAATACAAAAGATTTTATCTGGGGGGAGGGAGTTAACTAAGGCAGTGCTGCCTTTTTAGATTCTTCAAAACTTTGAGCAGTGGTAGACTTACACAGTGACATGAATCAAAATCAAAGTGGTTGACTTGTACAGTGACATGAATCAAATCAAATATGTGTGGCACCAACTGTCTTTTCTCTGATTATCCACTTTATTCTCAGAAAGAATACTAAAAAGGAAAGAATAAGAAAATATCAAATTTTGGGACTTATTAAACATTGGATTACTTGGTTCTCTAAAGAAAAAGTGTTTTAATCATTGAAAACATAAGTAGAGAGTATGGACAAACCATTTGAAGTAACTGAACATTTTTTTTCTCTAATCTTTTATCTGTAGGCCCCTTCTTCTTCAACCCTCACTACAATCTCTGTTCATTTACCTTTTAGAAACTGTTTAAGAACAAAGGTTCTTAAAGATACATTCCTAGTAATGCTAGGAACTTTAAGATTTTTAGTTTTTCAGACTTCTATAGTTATGGAAATTGATGGGATCTGGAGAATACATTACAACATTATTTAGGCCTATCATTGAAACCAAAACAAAGCAAAACAAAATAAAGCTATGTCTCCTTGAGCCTAGGAGGAAGTATGGTATCCCAGTATGGGGGTATTAAACAGGAAGGTGCTCTCAAGGGCACAGGGTAGTTGAGAGCAAGTTGACTTTTCCATTTTACTTCACTTTGCTCTGTGTGTGTGTATGAGCATGTGTACACACATGGTGCATATGTGGTTTGACCTCAGGACCTGGGTATTATCCCTTAGCTTTTTTGTTCAAGGCAAGAACTTTACCACTTAAACTATAGCTCTACTTCTGTTTTTTTTGATGGTTAATTGGACATGAGTCTCACTGAACATTCCTGCTTAGGTTAGCTTTGAACAAGGGATCCTCAGATCTTACTTTCCTGAGTAGCTGGGATTATAGGCATGACTCATTGACATCTGGCTGCTGCTTTTTTTTTTTTTTTTGAGAGGGAAGATTCAGTGTCTTTCGATTAGAAGTCCTAATATGGCCTTTCTCCCTTATTCACCTCACTTGAGAATAAAACACACCTTATGGTCTCTTTATTGGTATATGCTATAAGAATTGTAATGAACAGAAAATAATAGTCAAGAAAATAACTGATGATGATGGTACAGTTTTCTCTTTATACAGGAGGAATTTGTGATCTCCTATTAAGAGGTGAACATCCAGTTTTCTGGGTAATTTGTGTATTAATACACGCATGGGTCACTTGTCTGATTGCTTTCTTCTCTTTCAGAATGCCTTCAGAGGTCTTGCTGAAGATACTTTCCTACTTGGATGCTGTGAGCCTGCTGTGTACGGGCTGTGTGAACAGGCGGTTCTATCATTTGTCCAATGACAAGTAAGAAAAAAAACAACAGTGATAGCAATCATGAAAACCAGTAATATCCTTTAACCATAAAGTTTAAGAGAATTGCTTTCAATATTACTTTTAGATATAAATGGAAATAATATGCCTAATGCTATATCTAGTCATATATTCTGAACAGTTGTGTTTATGTGCTTAAAGATGGCAGCATTCTTTTTTTTTT